TTAGTAGGTGTAGAAGTCAATGTATGTAATTAAATCATAATTTCAATTAATTGAATTAATTGGACAGTTCTAGTGGGGATTGTATGTTGAATTGAAATCGGTCAGTGTGTACTATATATATATTAATGTGGTCATTATGTGTATTCACTGTAGGTTAGTAGGTGTAGAAGTCAATGTATGTAATTAAATCATAATTTCAATTAATTGAATTAATTGGACAGTTCTAGTGGGGATTGTATGTTGAATTGAAATCGGTCAGTGTGTACTATATGTATTAATGTGGTCATTATGTGTATTCACTGTAGGTTAGTAGGTGTTGAGATCATTGTGTTTACTGTAGTTTAGTATGTGTTGAGATCAGTGTATTTACTGTACGTTAGTATGTGTTGAAGTCAGTGTATTTACTGTAGTTTAGTATGTGTTAAGATCAGTTTATTCACTGTAGTTTAGTATGTGTTGAAGTCAGTGTATTTACTGTACATTAGTATGTGTTGAAGTCAGTGTATTTACTGTACGTTAGTATGTGTTGAAGTCAGTGTATTTACTGTAGTTTAGTATGTGTTGAAGTCAGTGTATTTACTGTACATTACTATGTGTTGCGATCAGTGTATTTACTGTACATTACTATGTGTTGAAGTCAAGAGTATTTACTGTACATTAGTATGTGTTGAAATCAGTGTATTTACTGTGCGTTATTATGTGTTGAAGTCAGCGTATTTACTGTACGTTAGTGTTTGTTGAAGTCAGTGTATTTACTGTACATTACTATGTGTTGAGATCAGTGTATTTACTATAACTAATTTTATGTAATAATTGTGTTAAGATTAGTCACTTGTTATTAACCAGTATAGTTGTAACTCATCTTTAAATGTGTATACATAAAAACTAAATTCAACCATTAACTCTAAGAGGAGTAATAACTTAAAATGGAGTTGCGTTAATCAGTTTCTAGATTCTAAACATTGAATTTTACTGAAAATAAATTCTATCAGTAATACCTTGTTCACTCTATAGAGAATTTTAGGAGAAACTATGAAAACTTACTTTAAAAATAGAATTGGGGATGAAAACAAGTTAAAGTAATGAGCTCTTTTTTCTTCTTCTTTTCCCATTTATAATTTACTAATAGCTCGTACATTCAATTAGGTTAAAAGGACAGAAAACAAACTTTTGTGGTGAACTATAACCTTGGCTCTCTGATCTTGGTCTGCATCATAGCTAGTTTTAAACCTCATTCTTCTGTTGTTTTTGCTTGTTTGTAACATAAAAAGATTTTTCTGTTACAATATTTTGGTTTGTTCACTGGGCAGAGTTCTTTAGACTACAGCTCATGGTATGCTTTGACAGTAGTCTACTAACATAACATTTTCTATAGTCATTGTGTTGCTTTTATCATTCTGATTGTTCTATCTAGCAATCATGTTCTTAGAGTTTCAAAAACAAAAGGAATAATAAAATCTTTTGGGAAAATGTTTATATTTTAGTCTTCAAAGAGAGGACATCAGTAAGAAAATCAATGAATCACTAAAACTCACTGTTTCTACCATTACATTCTGCCAGCTAGTGTCTGCCATTGTTGGCTGTCCACCTTGTTTCTTTATGGTATGTTTAATGAGGTTAGACACAACTCACTGTTTCTACCATTATTTTCTGGTGTCTACCATTGTTGTCTGCCCACCTTGTTTCTTTATGTTTCAGAAGTATTAATGTATATTTCCAGCAGTTGCTAGTAAAACTTATTGTGTTTTCAATATTTTTTGTGAGAGCCTCGCATGTACACTTGCAGTAATATTTGTTTTTTATGGTGAAACTAGATAATAGAAATTATTGTCAAAAAATTGCTTAACATTTCTAAACTCTAACATATAATCAGAAACTACAACATAAAAATTAACTGTGGTAACATGCAGTATATCTTATTTGAAACTGTTTCAGTTAATTTATTTTCATACGTTGACCTACAGGTAAATATCCTCACAGCTTTTATCAGTGTAGCCCTAATAAAAAGAGAACAGCTTGTTAATACAATATTGATGAAATACTTTTTTGTAGCATATAAATGCCTTGCTTATATATTTTTTATTTCCACAACTCATTTTTTTCCTTCTTTTTTTAGAAATATCCAAAAGTTCGCCTGCAGGACACTGCACGTACCTACCTCAATCCAAAGATAGGAATTGGGCTTTGTATACCACCAAATTAAGTGAAGATTATACGCATTCAGATAAAGAGCATTTGTCTCTCAGTCATGCTGTTTGCAATCAATCTCAGCCCGCAGTTTCGCCAGATGTAATGGCAAGAAGTTTAGGGTGTGGTGCATCCTCTTCAGTGGGTGGTGCACAGACAAAATTGGTCACTCAGCGAGTAAATAATACCCAAGAACACCAGAAGACAGTAGTTGTGTCTTTTAATGAGAGAGAGAAGTGTGAAAAAGAGAGTAAAATCCATACAGATAAAGAGGAGAAAGTGGCTGTTACGAGGCATGCATATCATGTATTGAGTACTTCTGGACAGGAAGTTCCCACCTCTTATTCATACTTGTCATCACAATTGCACAACATTGCACAGACATCAAGGGATTCAGGTGTAAACCATGTTGATGCTTTGAACAGAAGAAATCCAATAAATGGGCCACTGCTCATTTGCCCACTAGATAACCAGCAAGATATTAAAACAGTGGACAACATTCAGCAGAACAGGTTATTAAAGCCCTCTCATCGACACATTGGTTCTGTTTCATTGTTAAACAACCATCATCGACCTGCCAACTATCAGGAAAGGTTAGATGATAGGTCATTGGACATTCAGCACGGCAGTAAAGTTCAAGGTTTAAGATTTGTTGACGTCAGGAGAAATTCTCCTCCAGGGGCTAGAGTTCTTGCCCTGGACAGTAGTACAGGAATAAGCCCACTGTCAAAACTGATAGAAGTGCCTTCTGTTGGGAGTGTGCCGAAAGCCAGCTCCGTAGGTAGTAAGTTACAGTTTCTAGCAGAAAAGACAGAATTACCAATACTTGTACCTTCTCATGGTGATATGCACCAGGGGCTAGACATCTCTCTTCTGCAGACAAGGGAAAGTGAAACTTATATGAATAACATGGCTTCTCTAAAAAATCTAACCATACCTGTTAACTTTGATCAGATACATTGTCCTTCGTCATTATCCACACCATCTGGACGTTGTCCATCATCATTATCCACGTCTCTAGCCACAGCATCTGGGCATTGTCCTTCATCATTATCCATGGTGTCTGGGGAAAATGAGACTTATCAGCGTGGATCTTGTAACAGACAGATGGCCAAACAACGCAAAAGAATTTGTCTCACTGCTCAAAATACTGACAATCTCAATAATGGTAAGGAAAAGACTAAAGAAGAATGTGATAGTGGAGAATCCAGCATGGATTCCATTGATGAAGACACTGCCAAGCACACAACAAAAACTGTTTGCCAGAAATTATGTAGCAATGTTAATGATAAGGAAGCAAACATTATAAATGTCCTACCAAAAACACAACTGTTATCAACTCAGAACAAAGAAATGGAGAGAAGCACTGGTGAGACAGACATCTTACCACAACAAGAGATTCAAACCTGTCACAATGCAGAGATTTATTCAAGCTCTGAAAAAGTTAGATTACCTAAAGGTATTCATATTTTCAGCTATTTTTAGATATAATTCTGTTCACTAACACATGCACATAAGAATGTGAAAAATGTTATACTAACCCGGTTATGCTTTAATGATATTGAATTTTATTGGTATCAACACAAAGCCATGAGTTTGAAACTGTTTTTGAGTGTAATGATAAATTAGTTTTTCTTTATTCAATAATGTTATTTGTTTTTAAATTTTACTACATACATTCATAATGTTTCTTAAGATATCAGTGTCTTTTGTTCTAATAGCAACGATTGTATGGGCAAGGTAGTGTTACAACTTTTAAAACAAACTGTTTGCAGTAATAATGATTCTAGCACTTTGTTTCAGATGTAAAACAATATACGTTCGTGTAGCAGCAACAGTATTAAGTTTAAAATTAAGCCAAGATTCATTAAAGATTTGTTATCAAATATTCAAAGAAGTTGTGAAATATTTTCTTTATATGAGATTTTTATAGAACTTGATATTAAAATAGTTTTTATATTGATTGCAGAGTGTTCAACAGAGAGAGACTCAGTGAGTAATATTGTGGATACCACTCTAAAACCATCAACAAAAGAACCATCACAATCTATTAAAATACATAAGCATCTTAAAATTGGTGATGATATCTCTTCATCAGGCAATCCCAGCACGAGCATTAGTCCAGTCTCCCAGTCTTCCACTGGCCAACCAGCCAATCAGCAGTTTATTCAAGAAATACCTTCTCCTTCCTTTCCTCAGCACGACCTGGTTAATTCCCACAAATCACTTGGTACTGATTCAACAGTTTTTCCAAAATTTATTACATGCTCTCAGACAACTTCGGTTACTATCTCTGTTCCATCTGAAATCAATCAGGCTGTTCCCATTCAATCTAATCCACATCCAACCGTTTCCCATTCATTGCACAATCCAATTACAGTTGGAATTGAGCAGACAACTTCTTCAGCCAAACCTAATCAAGTTACTAATACAATCTCTTTACAACCTGTTTCTTCACAACAGTCCAGTGCAGATACTACAGTTAGTACAGTTGAGACTGGACAAACGGGGACATACCCATTGGATCAGCCAACATCTAATCAACTTACCAACACAATTTCTTCACAGCCTGTTTTCACATCTTCACAACAGTCCAGTCCAGATACTACAGTTAGTACAGTTGAGGCTAGACAAATGGGTATGTACCCATTGGCTCAGCCAACATCTAATCAAGTTACGGACACCACAATCTTTTCGCAGCCTGTTTTCAAAGCTTCACAACAGTCCAGTCCAGATACTACAGTTAGTACAGTTGAGGCTAAAAAAATGGGTATGTACCCATTGGCTCAGCCAACATCTAATCAAGTTACCAATACAATCTCTTCACAGCCTGTTTTCACATCTTCACAACAGTCCAGTCCAGATACTACAGTTAGTACAGTTGAGGCTAGAAAAATGGGTACACGCCCATTGGCTCAGACAACATCTAATCAAGTTACCAATACAATCTCTTCACAGCCTGTTTTCACATCTTCACAACAGTTCAGTCCAGATACTACAGTTGTGGCTAGACAAATGGGTATGAACCCATTGGCTCAGCCAACACCTGTTCAGGTTACTGACTCCAAAGTTTCTTCACAGCCTGTTTTCACAGTTTCACAACAGCCCAGCCCAGATACTACAGTTAGTACAGTTGAGGCTAGACAAACGGGCATGTACCCATTGGCTCAGCCAACTCCTATTCAAGTTACTGACTCCACAGTCTCTTCACAGCCTGTTTGCACAGCTTCAAAACAACCCAGCCCAGATACTACAGTTAGTACAGTTGAGGCTAGACAAACGGGTACAGATCCATTGGCTCAGTCAACACCTATTCCAGTTACTAACTCCACGGTCTCCTCACAGCCTGTTTTCACCGTCTCCTCACAGCCCAGTCCAGATGCTACAGTTAGTACAGATGAAGCTAGACAAATGGGTATTTACCCAATGGCTCAGCCAACATCTAATCAAGTTACAGACACCACAGTCTCTTCACAGCCCATTTTCTCAGCTTCACAACAGCCCAGTCCAGATGTTACAGTTAGTACAGTTGAGATTGGACAAACAGGTATTTACCCATTGGCTCCGCCAACATCCAATCAAGTTACGGACACCACAATCTCTTCAAAGCCTGTTTTCACAGCTTCACAACAGCCCAGTCCAGATGCTACAGTTAGTACAGTTGAGGCTGCACAAACGGGTATTTACCCATTGGCTCAGCCAACACCTATTCAAGTTACTGACACAATCTCTTCACAGCCTGTTTTCACATCTTCACAACAGCCCAGTTCAGATGCTACAGTTAGTACATTTGAGGCTGGAAGAACAGATACATACCCGTTGGCTCAGCCAACTTCTAATTTGCAACTTGTTGCTAGTCATGTAGTTAATGCAACAAGTGTCGAACATTCTGATAGTCTGGTGCCTTCCAGCTCTTCAGAAAAAATTGCATACACAGAGAAAGAAGGTGAAACTTCCAAGCATTCTGTTATCACTGAAATTGTTTCTGTTTCTATAGGCACAGCAACACATGCAGTTTTAAATACTGCAAATTCTACTTTAATCACTTCCTCACCTGTTGTATCATCATCTAAGCTTAGCAGTAGTGGGTATGACACATCTGGGAATCGCTTGACATTGATATTTAAAAATACTCCTACTTCAGTTGGACAGCGATCTTTGCTGACACCGGCCAATAGTATGACTGGAGTCACTGTCCCCTTTAGTTCCTCTAAAACTGTTCCGATCAAATTTGTGACTCTTCCAGCAGCAGGATCTTCTCTTAAGACTGTAAAATCTTCCAGTCAGCCAGTTTTAGAGCTAATCAATCCTCCTCCTGGATCTCCGAGCACATCCTGTATTACTGCCAGCAACTCTTTATCAACATCACCAGTCAGATTAGTGGTCTCGCATATAAAACCATCAGGATCAGTGTCGCCATCTCTTTCATCGTCAGTGGTTAACAAAGTGCTTGTAAAATCAGTGGTGGTAACTAGTACATCACCTTCCCTCAAAATTGTTCCTGTAAGAGGAACCATCTGCACTTCCAGCAGTTTGGCTTCCAGTTCGCTGCTGGCTGGTTCTTCACTGTTGGAAAGTAATAAGACTAACACTGGTCACATGTCTTCAGCGGCGTTGGAATTGAGCGAAAAAGGTTGTGAAGGGGAAAGAGTTACAGGTCAAATAAGATCTATGAAAGCAGCAGTCTGTGTCGAAACTAAGTCTCTGGAAGACTGTAGTCCTACCATATCCTGTGAGAATAGTCCAAAACATTTAGAAAAAGAACAAACAGATTCTGGGGAGGCCATGTTGGAATCTACTACAGGAGAAAAATTGAGTAGTACCAAAAATACAGGTAACTTAATTACTTTTACCTCTAGTGGTGGTTTGCAGAGTCCTTGTGAAGTAGAAATTAATGTAGATCATGTGTCTGCTAGGGAGTCAACATCTGCAAGAGGTATTTCAGAGGACCATTGTTACACATACAGTCAATCGAATCCAACTAGTCAAAACAAGGTTATAGAAACCAAAGTATCTGAACTTGTACCAGAAAAAGTTTCGTCAGTTACTGGCACTGAGGGAAGAGACCATGCTTCACTTGATCATTTATCTACAGACAAACCAGATGGGATTCCTGAATCTGTATCACTCCTTGAAGAGAGAGAGGAAAAAAGTCAGATTCCACAAATAACAGAATCTGAAGCAGCAGAGAGTGGAATAATAGATGATCAGACAAAGGAAAAACCTGCAAACTTAGAAGATAGTTCCATTGTGGCCGAAAATAATTCTTCATCTGTAATAATTTCCACACCCAACAAACTTGATTCTAATATTTTAATTGGTGAGATATCATCTGAAGCCAGAGAGAATGGAACGCTTGTGTCTTCAGAAGATAGTCAACTGACCAGAGAACTTGTCCGTCCAATTCACATATCATTAACAAGGACATCACCAGTGCCAACATCAGACAAAAGTTTGGAAGTAAACTCACTAACACAAACTGAAGAGGAAAAGTCCACTGAAGAAGAAATTAAAGAGCAAGGTAAATATGAGAGAAATGTGGAGAGAATAACAGAGACTGAAGAGGAAAAGTCCATTGAAGAACAAATAAAAGAAAGTGATTGTGGCATAGCTGTTATCCTTGACGAACCTACAGAAAATGTTTATTTAAAGCCATCAAAGAGAAAATGTTCAGAAAATGCTGCTGAGCTTATTAAAGCTTGTATGGGACTGGAAGATTATCCCAAACGGGTTGCTCCAGAAGACCACAGTTCAACAAGAACACACGAGGAGAAGGAAGATAAACCATCTCAGAAACACTGTAGACTTAGACGAGAGGATACCAGCAAAAAAAGTAAAGATTTTGATATATCAAATATAGTAGTATTTATTAGTATTGTCAAGTATACCTTTTTCAAATGGATTATTTGTAGAATGATGAGAAAAACTGTTCCCTAAACTCTTTATTTGATAAAATATAATATTACTAACATTTACGGATGAAAATATTGTTAACAAAGAGGGCACTCAATTGATGAAATAATGCATTCAAATCTTTAAAAGTAAATACAGTATATTTAATTAGCTGTACTGATAACCAGGTTAATTTTTAGTTTTGCTCTAAGTAGGTAGCTTGCACTGATTGGAAGGTAATATTAATATTTTGGGTCGTGTTTGTTTGTATTTGAAATTGTAATGGTTTTCACAAAGCAGTAACATTACATACCAAATAAAAAAAAAACTTGGTAAAGACCTTTTTTAAAGTTTTTTTGAGAAAAAATTCTTTTAATTTTTAATTTCTTTTGAAATCTTTGCAGTGGAGAGAAAATTATTCAGAGTAAACAACATTTCCAATACAAATTCACGTGTCATTGTGATAATACAACTGTTTATTGATAATATTTGAAAATCAGAAATTACTATATAAATACTATAGAATTCTGCTATAATTTATCAAGCTGAAATTTTGAGCAGACTAAAGACACAACCTACCTCCTTGAAATCTTGGTCGAAAGAAAGAAATGGTGACCACAAACACATTAAAATGGCTGAGAAAGCCACTAGGGGGACATTCTGAGCTTCTGATTGGTTATTCATGTTATATATAGAAGTAAGTATATATAAGGGAGTGTTTCCAAAAATGGAAAGAGTTGGGTGGGGTGCCACTATTTATTACATGAGCAATATCTTACCAAATTGAAAAGATAAGAGGCTCTTATTTTATAGTTATCTTTTCAATATCAATAATTTGAGTTCCTAATTTATACAAAACTATAGACTTCGTATTTTGACATCACAAACATCTAATTTGAATCAGTGCTGCATTCAACATACCACATGATACACAAAAATTGATGTTTAACGTGTTTTTTAATATTTACTTTTAAATTAAGAAATTGAATAAGGTAAAATACTAAAATTTCAGTTATAATGTACAGGTTGATATCAAACTTATTAACATAAATTCATGAAATATTAGTTCAGTCAAACTTTGAATGCAAGTCAACATGGCCTTTCCCCCGTGACCTGTCTGGAAAGGGTCAAAACTAAAACACTTATTACAGTATTACTTTGACTGATTAACTGATAAGAACAATTACATAAGTTTGTAGGCTTAATATTTAAACTGAACTTTGTTAGATAATGATAATGTTTCTTATAGTAAACTGTAATCAGTATACGTAAGAATGGTACATTAAAAGTAGTTTGTTTCAGTTACAAGTTAATGATATTATCACATGTTAATAAGTTGCTAGTATATGCTTAGGGTTTGTAATTTGAAACATGGTATGAAGTTTTACCATTTTTAAGTATAGCAATTTTTTGTTTTAGGTTTCTAGAAAGTATGTTTAAGTAATAACAGGTTTTGTTAAAAAAACATAATAATTGATTACATTTATAAAAAAAAGATCCGAAACACATTTGGAAACTTTTTTTTGAAAGGTACAGAGGGTCAGTATATTTGACCGAGAAATATTCATCTATACGGTCATGTCAGTCTCAGGATAAAACAAGTTCCAGCTGTCACTTAGGTTTTACATAATTTATACTCGTGAAGAGGAAACATCAAACAAATATTGCTGGATGATTGTTTTTCAGTAGTCACTATAGTTAACTATGATGATAAAGAAAATAACTTTTGGCCTCTGTTTAGTTGAAACGGTGAAGATCACCGTAGATAAGCTACCAAGCAGGGAAAACTGTGAAAACACATCTTTGTTGACAGAAGTTAAGAAGGAAAAGTTTTGCTTCAAATGTTATATAGTATTTTCAACTGTTTATATTTTCAAAAGGTTTTAATATTTGTAAAGCACATCTGTCTATAAAGTATAATATTTTTTCAGTGTTAGAGAATGAAACTTCTGAAGGTTCGAGTGAGGATGAGATGTCACTTCGTGAGTTAGCAAGTCGCTCAAGTGCCCGACAGAAGGTTTTGCCCGAGGAAAAGAATATTACAGTGCATGCCCGCCAACTTCGAGGTTCTCGTCAGTATCCTAAGGACGTAGAGAAAGAAGAAAGTAACAGTCGAGCAAGTAGGCGACCTTCTTCCAACGAATCTCGTAAAAGTGAAAGTCGACCCGGCTTTCGTAGAGACATAAAAAAATTTGTGAGGAAGATAAAGCCCCTGGGAAGCGAACCTCTGACCGAAGCAAGCGATTACCAGTCATAGGTAATGTTCGGGACAAAGTACACAGGGGTAAAGTTTTAATCGAGTGTTTTTTCTCTTTAAGAAATGAGCATCCTAATGTATTAAACTTCAACATGTAACCACTTATCATTATTTATGTAACTGAGGATAAATATATATATTTATTTTCATAAACCTAACACAGTTGTATAAACAACTAAAAGAAAGAAAGTGTAGCACAGTAGCATCTTCATACTTTGGAGATAAAACTAAAGTACAAAAAATAGTACCCATGTATTGGTAGGGATACACTACAGATAAATATGTCTACAACCACACTGTACCTAATCACCTTCTACAGTCAGTAATTCTTGTTGGATGATTAGTCGATATTTGCCGAAGTTGGCATTCTGGCCCTATAATAGATATCTGTTTAAGCAGCATCAAATAACCTAAATTAATAATTACACTACCAATAGAAAAATATCCTCCAACTTCACAAAACAGCAGCTCATATTATTAATTTTTTGTTTATTATATTCACCGTGTCATGGGAAGTATTTCTCGGCTCCAGAATTTTGTTCGGTTCCAAGTTTTTTGTTTTTTTTACGTTATTGCAAATACTAGATTGTGTCTATGAGTAAAACTAGACTTTTATTACATTAATCAATGAGTTAATTGTTCATTTCTACAGATTGTGGAAAACATAACTTTTAAAGTGTGTATGCTAGACCACTCATGACGAAACAGAGGACTGGTCACGCAACTGTTTATTAACTATGTATGGTAGACCACTTGTGACTAAACAGAGGACTGGTCACGCAACTGTTTATTAACTATGTATGGTAGACCACTTGTGACTAAACAGAGGACTGGTCACGCAACTGTTTATTAAATATGTATGGTAGACCACTCATGACTAAACAGAGGACTGGTCATGT